TATTGTGACGCAGTGGCATTTCAAGATGCACGCCACAAAATATAACATTCTGCGACTTCTGGCTACATCGTGGAGCCCTATGCGTAGGGATGGGATTTCGTGGCGTTGGACTCTATATTATTTTTTAAATTTATACTTACTTCCCTCGCGGGAACATTTTTTCCATGTTTTATATTTTTCGAGCGGATTTTAAAGGATTCTGTCGAAATTTGAATACTACGGGCCCCGAGAGTGCCAACTCCGGGCTTGACAGAGCGCGCTGGCGAGGCGACGCGACAGCCAGACCGGAACAAACACCCTAAAGATGTGATTTCATGCTGACGCTGGGTTTGAGCGTCAAATATAGTCATGAGGTGTAATTTCGATGAAAGCACCATCTGGAAAAAAAGAGCGTCAAATCATCACGTCAAAGTACGGCGTCAGCGTCATCGTTTACCGTCAACGAAATTGTTGGTGAAAATAAGCGTCCAAAAAAGTAATATATATCGAGAGCCGACCTATCAGTTGCCATGTATGATTCTTAACCTTTCTAAACTATAACAACAAATAGTAATTTAAAAAACTACACTATTGAAAAGTTATATGTAAAAATATTACAAAAATTGATTCATAAACTTTTATATTCAAATACTTAAAAAATAAAAGAATGTCTGCAATCTATGAATACCAAAAGTGGATCCATCAGTGCCAAAAAATAATTCAGCAACGACACATTGCAAAAATAAGACGAAAAAGAGTTTTATCTGCTCTCATATACAACGAAATATTGTTTCAGTTTTCTTTTTCTCAAAAGAAATATGCAAAAATGCCAAATTTCATGCGCAAATATCATTCAAATGTTAAAATATCACTTATCCATGTATCGATTATTGTCAAGTTCGATTTTATTTATTAAGCGTCACATACACAGCTCGAGTGTCTGAACTAAACATTATTTAGTTTTGACGTTACAATTCATCCCGATGGCGCTTTCGTCGAAATTATACTAATTGACTATGTTTGACGCTCAAAACCAGCGTGAAGCATCAGCATGAAATTGCACCTTAAGAAGGCAGCTTACGCGGAACATTCGGCGAACGTCTCACCGATTCAGAGGCCATACGGAAGTTGCAGTAATGGCCGGGAGCCATCCATCAAGGGAGCAAATGTGGATGTGAATCCTGCCTCCCGAAAATATCACTGCAGCCATCCCAAACACAAAAGATGCTAGGATCTACTTTATCTACCTCGCAGAATCGTTTCCTTAGCGCAACGGTATTGTGAGTCCGTTCGCACTCGTTAACGTTAAATTCTGTATAATATCCTTTTGCTTGTATATTCTGTGGGGAATGTTGCATATAGTATACTTCCGTATCGTATCGAGTACAATATATATTTTTGTAAAATATTAAGGTCCTGTAAATTTATAGATATTATTTTGCCAATAGGTCTTCGGCACCGCTAGCTTAATAATTCCCATGAGGTATCTACGGTCCCGTTCTATATAAAGCTTGTGTATTTTGTTCAGGAACCGTTGTTCCATCTCTTTCTCTTGTTTTGTTTAATAAATCAGACCAGATTGTGGTTCCGTATTTAATTTTGAAAATTTTAGTATTTGTTCGTTATATTTTTGAGAGTGAACCTCCCCAGATTTCAGATTTTGATTATTGTCTCCCAGACCCAAGACCCCACCGCATAAAAGCTGGCCAGGGTGTCCTTAGGTGACAGCGGTGTAACTCTGGTTATATCTACCGTCCAATAATTTAATATTTTATTAATTATTTCTCGCGGTGCCATATATTTTTATGTCATTATTAAAAAGTGTCGTCACAATATATTTTAAAAAATTTCTAAACCTTGGATCATCACAGCATTGGAATTCTACCCTATCTTAACCTAACGTAACGCTTTCTAAGCCCGCCATAGCTCCCGGTGCCTAGCAGTGAAAAAATTTGAAAAAATTTAGTGTGACACACCGCTTTATGGTCCTCAAAACCGGCGCCATGCTAAAAATTCTTCGAGGACAGTACTCCAAACAACCATATGTCCTCAAAGTAGCCAATACGTATAAGTGAAAATATCTCCAAAGTAGCCCAACCCGAAATTTAAACACACACACTCACACACATACATATATATATATATATATATATATATATATATAACGACATAATATATTTAATTTATTTATTCATTTATGTACGTATAATATGTATCTTTTTTTGTTACTCTCCCTCACTCGCGCGTTCGCTCTCTCTCTTGCAACTTTTTTTTCGTTTCTTTTCTCTCACGCTATCGCTCTTGTTCTCTCGCAATCTATGTACAAGATACACTCGGTCAGCGTATATAAACATTCAGCGATTACTCGGTCAGTAAAAAAGGACACGGTAGTAGTCAACAGCCGTATCTTAGTAATATTCGCTAACTATATCATCATCATCATCGTCATCATCATCATCATCATCATCATCATCATTGTCATTATCATCGTCAATATTATCATAACTATCAATCTCATAAACACAACACTAAATCTTCCTCAATTACACAGACATCTAATATGTCATTCCTCATTTATGAACTATTCCATGTAATAAATTCGTATAAATATGAGATGATGCGATACGCTTTTACAAAGAAAAGAACATACACAAATGAATGGTAAGAATCAAACAGTGAGAACAAAAGTTGTAAAAACCCGCACTTTATGTTATTTTCATATGTTGACTATTACCGAATTCAGTAATTAAGAAATGTTAAAGGAAAAAAAAACAAATATAACTAATAATAACGAAAGAACCTATTCGCACGATATTACCTATTCTATTTATCTCGATCTAGTAATATTTCGACTATAAGAATGTTAAATACGTTTTCAAACACGTGATCGTTCATTTCGAACTTGACCGTCCGATTAGCAACCCAATTTCAAAATTATCAGAGCTCGAACGTTTTTTTGAAAATGTCTATACAGGCTGTTCCGAAATTACCTGACCAACGGGGTATGGCGGTGTTCGGGAGACACCACTGATCACGAAATCCTTCCTTCCTTTTCTTCAAAAGGTCATAGTTTTTAAATGGGAGCAGGTCAAAGTTGACCAATCAGAGCGAGACGTCAAGAGAAACGTACGCACCTACGAACTCTGAATGTTCTTCCCTCGCTTTTGTTTCTCGGTGGCTATAGGCAGGCTCAAGCTAGGCGAAGCCATACCTATTGGATGTCACTCACTGAGAACAGAATTTCTCATCCTATCTACATTAGAGATCTACATTGATCTTTCGCTTACAGTAATTATAACTTAAATCGATGATCTATAAATAATTTGCAATGCTCTATTTCCCTAATGCACAAATAACATCATACTTAGATCAATTTTGAGCCTAAGTCGTATGAATTATACGGAAAAGATCCTTTTCAGAGAAATGTTCGATCCATCCCTGCATACCGACGTTCATCCTTCGTTTTAAGAGTAGTCCCAATAAAAAAGGATCTCATATGGATCGTATAAAGTGATACACCAGTAATTCATGTCATATCTAACAATTTTTACCATACACTCCGGCATATGATGGGGATACTGGAATCTCAGTATTAATTCAACTTTCAGTTTGAATTAATCAGAAGGAGAAAACCATGAAAACTGGCCGGAACAAGTACACGAGCATCCAGGAAAGGGAATGGACATCAAAAAGGAATCTGAAAATAGATTTGCTATTAGCTGTGAGGATCATACGGTCAGGACGATAGAGGATTATACATGCTTCACCTTGAGATAGACAAAAATTGATTCGGTCACTGCAGCAGAAATTTAAATTTTTTTTCCGACTGCGATAGATTGATTTCGCATTTACCTACTACGAAAGATCTGTATTATATCTTACAGGGAATATAAACTCTTAAGGAATATGCTTTATAAATTATGAAAAGTCGTCAATTGCAATTTACCTACTACGAACAAAAATTGATTCGGTCACTGCAGCAGAAATTTAAATTTTTTTTCCGACTGCGATAGATTGATTTCGCATTTACCTACTACGAAAGATCTGTATTATATCTTACAGGGAATATAAACTCTTAAGGAATATGCTTTATAAATTATGAAAAGTCGTCAATTGCATTAGAATTTTTATTCCGATTCGTCAACGGGATGTAGCACAAATCGCTGGAGATGAATGGAAGAAAATCGAGATTAGGATAGCCTGCGTATGACGTCACAGGGATATCTGTATAAGTCAAATGGCATTATCATAGGACATTGCAGTTTTCAGTCAGTGCTTGACTGTTCAACTGAGATCTTCTGTTCTCAGTGAGTGACATCTAATAGGAAAGTCTTCGGCTGACGTCATCCTGCCCGAACCCACCGAGAACAAAAGCGAGAGAAGATAACTCAGAGTTCGTAGGTGCCTACGTTTCTCTTGATGTCTCGCTGTGATTGGTCAACTTTGATCTGTTCCCATTTAAAAACTATGACCTTTCGGAGAAAAGGAAGGTCATTTTCGTGACCAATGGTGTCTCCGGAACACCGCCATATCCCGTTGGTCAAGTAATTTCAGAACACCCTGTATATGTATACAGGGTGTTTCTTAAGCCCCGGATAGAAGACATACTGTTAGATCCAGCGTGAAAAAATAAAAATAGTGGCGTCAACAAAATTCAAAATTTGTAATTAGTTTATTAATTAATACGAATTAAAGTAAGCTAATTATAAGCGCGTGCGAACTGGTAACTTCTTCTCAATCTCCTCCCACTGGGGACAGCCAATCATTTACTTCCCCACAAAAAACATTTTGCATTATTCTTTTGTTTATTTACGTTACTATATTCGTCACTGTTTTTGTGGGGAAATAAATAATTGGCTATCCCTAATGGGAGGAGACTGAGAAGGAGTCACCAGTTCTCACGCGCTTATGATTGGCTTACTTTAATTCGTAATAATTAATAAACTAATTAAAAATTTCGAATTTTGTTGACGCCGCTATTTTAATTTTTTCACGCCAGATCTGACAGTATGTCTCCTATCCGGGGCTTAAGAAACACCCTGTATATTCCCTCTGTTATAAGTAATAACTATTAACAAAGAAACTCATCCAAACTTGTCATATAAAACACACTCAAAATCTGCTATATGGTCAGACCCAACATATGTTCATGCACCGCTTTCTAACCTATTCGACTGAATCCCTAATCAACTTCTCGTGTTTCTGGCTTATACTGTTAATATTATGTGTATACGGTAGTCTACGTAAATAATGATACATCATGAACATAGTGACTGGCAAACATACTTCGCTACTTCGCTCGATGACTAATCAACAATTCATATATCAGCTGCCCATACAAGTTGCACACAATAAAATCTCATTGAACAAAATAGTAACCTAATCTAATTTGCACAACGGTTCTCGGTCATTTTGTCTAGCCATTTAAACGCGTTCTCGCAAAAAAAAATATTGTACACAGGCATCCGACAGGCAAGGACGTATTAAAATTCAGTTCAAACATTTATCGGTTAACATCCGTCGCATCTCGCTCATTCGCGTTTGTCACAAGCAACAAACTACTATTAGCCGTTGTCACTACGAGTTTGAATTTCATTTTTTAAATTTATAAAAACCTCTTATAAGTATTCACTTTCCTGATCTTGAATAAAAACTTTATTATACGTAATATAAAAATCGCACACGAAATATAATGCACATGACACTAAATCTTCTCTATTACACCGATTCCAGAATAAATTTTCATACGCTGACTTCGTAACGAGCATCAGCGTACATCAGCATTGATCGGATAACAGTTATCGGGTAAACTCGACTATACAAATCGGGATACGCAACCTACTTCAAACCAGTACATACGCGTATTTCAAAATCATTGTCACTCTATGAATGGTTGCAAATATAAAGGAATCTATATATTCTCGCAATATCAATAAACTCGTATTTACTGATCATGCAAAATCACGTGCTAACAAAATTTTCATCACAATATCAAACAAATCTATTTCAATGTCAACATTAAAGTTTCTTGCGAGCATGACAAATTTCGACTAAATTCGAACATTAAAAATCAGTCACTCTTGCGTCCGATACAACAATATTTTTAGCCTGACGGAACACCTTTGTAACTGATGAAGGAACACAACAGCACACGCATCTCGTGTAACGATTATTTTATTTGTTAATTAATTAATGTATATATACTCATAAGATAATTATTGTTTTATGTTACAGATGTTATGATAATCGGTTGATCTTATGGATCTACGAGGTCATATGGGAAAATGGGAGATAGATAAAAAGGCCAGTTTGTGATTAATATAACCATTACTAGTGCAGCGTGCACAACACAAATAACTAATTAAGAACTTCTTTTTTATATGTTTCAAATCTATTTTAATTTATTCTTTCTTCCTCTTTTTCTCGCTTACTTTTACCCATTCTCTCCCACTCGCGCTCTCGTAGTCTCTCACATTCATACACAACCATGGCAAAAACCTTGTTCTCTATGCTTTTATTTTAATTTACAAATTAAATATGCACAAGAATTAGATGTTCAGTGTCTCATTGTCATCTTTTTCTTGGCGTGCGAACCGTAGTGCAATTTTTGTTTACCAAGAACAAAGAAAAAGAAACAAAAAAATGTACTTACTAACAGGGTTGGAATTGAGGCAAGCACAAGCGAGTATGAAGTAAAACAAATGCCAGCTCAAATAAATGTTCTGCGCAATGTGTGTAATTAGCATTTGATAAAGAAAAATCTTGCATTCTACTTATAATCAATTTAAAGAGAAATTTCTTTTTGTGTAGATACGCAACAGTCCTCAAACGTGGATTTGAATGCACAGAAGGCTGTGTTATGAAAAATTATAGACAGGGAATACTAATTAAAGTTTATGAGAATACTCCCTAAGTTACAAAGTTTTTCTTAGAGCAATAATCGCGTCCATTTTTAAAACCACGTATTTTTTCGTTTTGTATGCGCTAACATAAGCATCGACTATTACGCGTACATTCACTTCCAAGCATGTATGTACTAGGATATAGAGCTTTATACTTTTAGGTTTATTCTTTTCTTGTTTACATATATAATCAGTATCAAGAACAATAAAAAAAAGGGAGAAAGAAAAATCATTGCAACGAATATACCGTCTTTTTTTTTTAATTGTACCAAATTTAAGTCTTCCTGGTGAGCTAACGCAGTTGTGCAATTATTATATTCATGCCTTTGTTCTATAAGAATATCAACATCTTTTTAGATGCGTATAATGAATTTCTTGTTTTAACTCATATATATACATAACATAAACGTAAAATTCCAGCGCAGATAGTTTATAATTATTATGATTAGCGTCTCAATTTCACGTTTTCTTGTTTATCCGTTTCTTCGCTCTTTTTTTTGGCATATACATGATGAAATATCTAGGAATGACAGGTCACGTATATTCTCCTGTCGAATATTCGAGACAATTGGAATTTTAATGATTATATAATTAAAAATTTTTAAGAATTTTTATCAATTTCGATCATGGTTTTATAATTGCTAAGAACGTTTTCTTTGCGGCCACGCTTATAGTTTTTTATCATTGAAATTTGATAAAAATCCAACGACACTCTTCCCTCCTTTATTACTACAAATTTGATGCAGCCTCTCTTTTGTCCTTTAGTCCCACTTGTTGTTCTCTCTTTAAATATAATTTTGGGGATGATGACATTTGCGAGCGTGACTTTTCAAAAAAGTAATATTTCATCAACGAAAAATGTGACATCCTACTACGATATATATAGATACACAAAAGTGAAGTTCTGGCTTTGAAAGAAATAATCAAGGAAAGAAAAAAGGTTTTACAGGCAGGAAAGAGCGAATTTTGATAACTTAATGTTACCTTTGGAGTTTCTTTTACATATATTTCTCCTCACATTATTAATTCATATAGCTGGTAGTTTGACCCTAGAGTTGTAGCAGCCGATGTGAAAAGTCTAAACGAAGATTTTACTATATTACATGCAAATTATTAGTCGTAAGGTATATATAATTTTGGCTAGAAAAAACATAAGAACATATACATAATACTGTCTACAATATAGCAAACTACAACAATTTTTGAAAGTACTTTAAAAAAACTAAATTACGGATAATTTGAAATCTTGTCAATCATGGATAAGACACTATTTACTTTATAATCGTTTAGATATAATCTATCTCTTGACAATTTATAAATTTTGTGATACATAAATGAATAATGGTCTAGGGTCAAATCCAGCCTTTAAATAAATTGAAAAAAAATTGAAAAATATTTCTCTAAAGTCCTGCAATTACTTCATTGAATCATAATAAAGCGGCAACAAAATTCGTTTATATATAGAATAATTCACAAGGAACTTACGAATTCGTGTGTGACAATTTGAGCAATGATCAAATTCATGGTCAATGACTCTAAAGTTTCTTACAGTGTTGAATTGGTCCAAACTCGCAGGTTACTGACATTGATCAATGACCTTGATCACTAACCAACCAAATGTTTATCGCTCAAGATAAATTACATGCGAATCTATAACTTCCCGTGAGTTGGCCTGTATATGTCGAATACGTGATATATATAATTATAAATGTGGGCAATATTTTTAAGCTAGATGTAGCTTCTTTAGTATCAGCATTACTTCCTTCATACGTTATATAATGATTCACTGATGTTTCTGTTGTTAAATACATGAAGATTGTTTAGCATATAAATTTCTCACAACTTTACAGCCTTTTTCTCTTCGGTGCGCCATAAACTTTGTACGAAGTCTGGAAATATTTAACAGACAAAGTATCACATAATAGACCATCGTATTTGTCTGTTATTCTAAAAAATGCTTATGTCTCATGTCACCAAAATATAATTTCTCGAAGAAGTGCAAAGGTAAAAATTAGAAGATACGGAGTAGTCTATGCAATGAGATTTTTAACAATTACCTCAGTTGCTTGCAAAGTTATTAGCACAGTGAGGAGTAACGAATACAAATTTTATAAATTAATCAATAGAAAGGTAATGATAAAACCGTAATATAATACGGTTACACTTCAGTAGTTATAAGAAATAGTAAATAGGATATTCCTATTGGCTTTTTCAGAAAATTTTTTATTAAAGAAAAATATGGAATCTGACTAATTTAAACGTCGATATTATGTCTAAAAAAAAATTAAAAAATCAATGTGGCAATTTTTTCATACGTACTACCAACTTTACATACATTTTTAACATATTTCTTATGCAGAAGAAAAAAAAAGGGTACTCTCGAACGAGGTATCAACCGTTTGACTGATTTGTAATTTGTGACCAAAAATTGAAGAATAGAACAAAATAAGTTGTACGTCAGAAGAAATATATAAGGAAGTAATTCATACGGCCACTGTTTAGTAAAAAGCAGTATTAACATTGTGAAAACAATACTAGATTCTGAACGCGAAATGATTGTTCTTGGATGAAAATATGTGGATAGAATTAAAAAAAAACGATGCCGTTATAACTTAAGTTTGAATGAATAATTTGATAATAAAATGACTGAGGGGTAGGAGAAGAGAGAAACACTGAATGTTTACATTAGATCAAGGAGGGGGGAAGGAGGAGGGCAATAGCCATATTAATATAGAGTTAGAATAAGAAATGAGAAAATAATTTTAAAAAAAAATGCAAATTCGACACTAAATTTACGTGAAGTAATCATGAAAAGTCACGAAGTTCAGATATTGCGAAACTCTCTCTCTCTCTCTCTCTCTCTCTCTCTCTCTCTCTATCTCTATCTCTATCTATCTATCTATCTATCTATCTATCTATCTGTCTCTCTGTTTACCTTTCTCTCTTTCGCAATCTCACGATCGTTCTCTCCCTTTCGTAATAAACACACACATACACACGATATTATTCTCTTGCTCTCTCGGGCTTTCTTCGTTCATATGCACCAGCAGTGCTCTCATATTCAACTGCTCTCACCTACTATTTAATTAGCTCTTTCGCGCGCGCACGCTCTTTATATTGTATGCTCTCTCTCTCTCTCTCTCCCCTCTCTCTCTCTCTCTCTCTCTCTCTCTCTCTCTCTCTCTCTCTCTCTCTCTCTCTCTCTCTCTTTCATTAACCTTTGTACTAATTCGGAGCGACGGAGGCTAGGGTGGGGGGACGTTAGGTTGGTGGGACATTAGTATAGGTGTGGCGACGACCGTACGCAGAAAAGTCAAAACGCCCCAATATCAAATACAAACACGGGACGTACCGTACGGAACATTAACATTGAGATCACGATTAAAAGATAAGATTCGTTTCACCAGAATTGCAGAATGAGAAGAAAGAAAAAGGAAAATAGACACAAAAAAGAAAGTAATTAAAGAGATTTAAAAAAAGATTCGAAATGGCAATTATATGTACAGAGATCATCAGTATTTCATGTAAATAAAGAGTTTTGAAAAATGAAAAACCAAAAAATAGTGAAAGCTTGGCAAAGTTTGTCGAACAAAGAAGAATAACGATAAAGATAAAAAGAAATAGGCTTGCGATCTCAACGTGCATGTTTATCATATCGAAAAAAGCAAACGTCTGGACCCCTCGTGATCACCAATAGGTATTTGAATTGAGCCAATGGATGGAAGCTTGGCAATTATTCGTGACATAGTGAAAACGAGTGGAACAACGTTGGACGCATCTCCGGTACGAACCTAATTATTAATCGCGTCCCATTTAGAATATGATACATCGCGTAGAGTATACTTAACTCCAAACGAAACGAGTTTACTCGTACTTAAGGAAAGTGTTCGACTTCTGTTCGCGCTGACCAGGATGATTCTGCCATGCGGCCTGTGTAGCATTAGGATTATTAGGCCCTGGCCCGCCTGTGCCCGCGGGATTTCCCGTATTGCCGTCGCCGCCACCCTGATTCATCCAGCTGAGAAATCCGCTATTGCCGCTGTTGCCGATGCTGTTGTTCCCCGATGGCGGTTGTCCGGGTGGTCCCGGCTGATTCGTGTATCCCTGCTCGTTTCCCTGATTCTGGAGATTGCCGATGAGGCCCCAGGATGCCTGATTCAGAGCTGCCGCCACCAGGGCTGGATTCACCGGTAGGGCCGAGAGATTCAATCCGCCCATCGCCAGTGGATTGGACATACCGCCACCACCACCGCCGCCATTATTCTGACCGGTGATTCCGAGGGCCTGAAGATTTGGCATGTCTAGGTTAGCACGATTGCCTGGATTGTTCCAGCCGTTGGGACCCATATTGTTACCCGAGTGTCCCATGTATCGGTTGCCTTGGTAGTTCCCTTGCATATTGTTGTCTATCGGTCCACCACCAGGCATACCGCCACGTGCGCGCATATTCGTATTCATCTGATTGTTATAGTTTCGGTTGTTGCTCTCCGACTTCGGGGCTGCGTTCGACACGTGGACAGAGACGCCCTTTATTATGTGATCCTCGCCACATAGAGATTGCGCGACCTCGGGATCGAGGAAGGTCACAAAGGAAAACGCTCGGAACGGCTTCGGGATGAAGACGTCCGTCACTTCCCCGAATTTGCTGAAGTAGTCGCGCAGATCCTCAGCAGTAAGGTCCTCCGTGCAGCGTCCCACGAATACCTTGCAGGGTACCTGCTGAATTCCCTCCTACGCACAAACGCACAATCATCAGCCCTCTACTTTCTCTGCATCAATCGCTCTCTTTCTCTCTATACTTTCTTTTCAACCCTCTTGTATCTATAACTTGCATTCATTTGAGCATTCGCGCACTCACTCGCACCCACTCTTTAGCTGCCACCTTGACTCAGACCAAGTTTCATTCCAATATAAATTCTCTCACTCTTCTTCACCCTCTTGTACAATCGCTCTGATCCTCGCACTCTTACTTCATTTATGATCAGTCCTCTTTCGCACATGTTCTTACTTCTTTTACGACCGCTCGTTCATCCTTCTTACTGTAGTCGATCCACAAGTCAAATGTCTTTTTTTCACAGATAGCAAATAATTAAATACGTGACAGATCACACATGACTGTACATAAAATTTGTAATACACAATATCACATACGAAACATTTTCGACCGAAATATTTGTTAGCAAATTAAAAGAGTGAAAATGACTTTTCTTTCCATTAGACAATTTCTTATTATTTGCCAATGAATCCGACTGTATTTTGCTTTACTGATTTTCATGTATAAGACTATTACTTTTATATTAATAAGACCTATTGCATTTATCTCGTGAATAGACTATAGACTTTTACACACACTACCCTCTTTCATGCTCAATGCATTCCAAAAATTTCATTGCTCTTTCTCGCGTGCACACACATATACTTGCGCATACATACAGAGTTTACAATATATTTTTATTCCCCCCTCCGACCTTCATTAAACGCTGGCTTTGTTGTTAAAGAATTATTGGCAAGTTTTACAGTTATATCAAATGAATGCTAATTAGTTTCGATTAATGAATGTACAATTATAAGTTGGATTTTTGTCGAAAGGAGTCAAGAATTTAGATGTAAAGAGATTTTGTAACTTTTCTTTTTTAAAACAAAAAAATTAAATTTTGGTAACTCAAGGAAATACTATAAGACTATACGAAAGTTTCATTCGAATGGAGTGTTGCATGTAATAAAATTATTCGTGACAAGATAATAAAAGTATTTTATATACATTAATTCTAAGGTAAATTTTTCGTTTTTACTGTTGTGAGTATGTATGTAAATATATATATATTCAGTGATTTGTGCCCATTCAAGTGTCTTGTGATATCTCATTTCTATTTATACTATTATTCACTACTATTTATATTCGATCATTTATTTATTATTCATATATGTGTGTACATAATGAAAGAAATACATAGTTGTTAATCAGAAACTGTATTAATTGTCAATTATTATACGATACATAATCCATGTATTAATTATGATAGTTGAAATTATATTTTCATACATGAGTATGCAATATACTAAACTTACAAAAAAAACTATTAAATACGTACTACTTACACTTTTCATTTATAAATATTTCGAATTTCGCGAACGGTTCGTAGACGCTCATTACAAGATTGATTTACTTGAGAATTTGGGCCCATCTCTTATTGAGCGTGATACTATTACAGATTAATTTAGTAAAAAGAGAAATAAAAACCAATACCAATTGTACACAAATCGTTAATAATTTTGCAATAGATAAGTATTGCAAAACGTCTGTAAGAAATATTCACATTTAAAAAATATATACAGGGTGTTCCGAAACTACCTGACCCAGTGGGTATGGCGGTGTTCGGGAGGCTTCACTGATCACGAAAATGACCTTCTTTTTGTCCGGAAGCTCTTAGTTTTTAAATGGGAACAGCTCAAAGATGACCAATCAGAACGAGGCGTCAAGAAAAACGTAGGCACCTACGAACTCTGAGTTTCCTTCCCTCGGTTTTGTTTCTTGGTAGCTTGTTTCTTGTTTCCAATAGGCATGTCTTCGGCTGACGTCATCCTGCCCGAAGCCACCGAGAAACAAAAGCGAGGGAAGAAAACTCAGAGTTCGCAGGTGCCTACGTTTCTCTTGACGCCTCCCTCTGATTGATCAACTTTGACCTGCTCCCATTTAAAAACTATGACTTTCCGGACAAAAAGGTCAGTTTCGTGATCAGTGAAGCCTCCCGAACACCGCCATACCCACCGGGTCAGGTAGTTTCGGAACACCCTGTATAGGGTTTCTAAGGACGCTTACACATTTTAATATCTATCAGCGCCCCTGCAAATATATTTGGAGTATAAACTGACACTTGAATAATTTGTCAACCTCATTGTGCAGGGTCACGTGACCCTAGACAACAAGTTTAACTGCAGTTTTGATACAATTTTTTATTTAAGAAACGCTCATACACCAGGAAAGCATGCGTTACTGGTAATCAAGATATTAATATAATTGCGAAAATATCGCTATACATCTTTTTCTCATTTGTTTCATCCGTAAGAATCTCTTTTGGTGATGATACAACTTCATTTTGGAAAAATTGAAGAGCTATGAAAAAAATAGAGGAAGAAATAGTGTTAAAAATAAAAACAAAATAAAAAAATAGAGAAAAAGATATCAAGAAAAATAAAAAAAAGTTCATATATACCAGATATCCTAAATGAAGATAGTCACAGTAACGTCGGCTGCTTTTGACCATAGATGAATATATAATTAAATCAATGTAACTGTATCTATCGTTTGCCAAAAAGATTGTATAACTAGCCCAGGACTTCACTTCCATAATGTAAAATACGTCACAGTTAATGAAAACAAATTAAAATATCCTGATTGGATCTTTACAATTTAATGAGTTCATCGCCAGCAATTTTAGCTTGTATGAAGAAAAACAAAAATGACCAAAAGATAACTAGTGACTGGACCCATAATAATCTTGAACTTACTGGTGTAGGAAAGAATGCAGGAGAAGCTGGAGAACAAATCTAAGAGATAAAGCAGAGCAAATAAGGGTTAGACACTTTGTTCAGTAAAAAATAAGATTTTGAAACCCCATTAAGAAGAACGCATCCATTCTTTTCAAAAAATGTCAGTATCTCGCAACATCATTAACATGATGATCTCTAGCTGGTCGATGCTTGTAATACCGATCATAATAATTTTCTTTAGGTTGCTGATGGGTAATATGCACCGGATATGCATTATATCTACTATTCATAGCATTTATATCAGTATAACGAGAATCAACCACGGTCTCTCTAAGGTCAATGGGCACTTGTTGATATCGGCTATCTAGATTAGGATCTCGTTGATCTATCATAAGATAACGTCCACCGCCAGCAGTGCCACCACCGAGATTACCGCTACCATCGTGATCCACTCTGGAATCCATTTGTATATACCGGTGCCGATCTGGTGGTCCGTCCATCATAGTCTGGTACCGCACGTCAGTATGTTCAATGCGCGTGTCACCTGCAGGTGGTAACGGCGGAGGTGGCGGTGGTGGTGGTGGCGGTGGAGGCGGTGGAGGTGCCGATACATTGCGAGATTCACTATTTCTCACGTCAAGATAACGTGGAGGTTCATTCACATATCGCATGTCTGTTGGCGGAGGCATATAACGAGGAATTTCAGCCTCATAAGTATAACCTACTCTATCGTACGCGTAACCATATCTAGCTCGATCTATCGGAATCTCGACAGGACTTGTTTGTGAAGCTACAGCTTCATTCACAATGGAATACCGATTTGATTCGTAACTTTGATAACGAGAGTAATCATGCTCCAAAGGATAACTAACGGGTATGGCTGATGCTATCGGTTGTGTCTGATAGGGTCTGTTATCGTATCCAGGATCCTCAAAATGCGCAGACGTTGCTGAAGACGGTACTGATCCGTAGTTCGTGGATTTCCCATCGTACATTGTATAAGTCTGTTGCGCTGACGGTTGCGTTGCTGATGCCGGAGAGGGAGTTATTTGCTGTTGCTGTTGCTGTTGCTGCTGCAACTGTTGTTGTGCATTATTTTCATACTTATATTTCCCGTTGGCGCTGGTGTTGCTGGTTGTAGCGCCACCACTTGGCGCACAGCTTGTACTACTACTTTCTTCGTATGGGTAGTTTGATGGGTACGAAGGATAATGAGTTGTCCTGTAATCATAGGCTGTGTCGTACCTAGGTGGAGGACTCGAAGACTCCGAGGAACTCACATATGCTTTTGCCGATGGGGCAGAGCTAGTGCGCCGACTACTCGGCGTGTGCACTGGTATTGGACGATAGTACTCACTGTTTTTTCCCGCGTCATACTGACGCGCCATCATTATGCCGTCTATATTCTGGAACGAGACACACACCAGCTCTCGACAATGACTCTACACTTTTTTTCGATCTTACACATTCCCTTATCCATATACTTTCATATATCCATATACGTTCAATGATTTGCATTTCCAATCATTTTACCACTTTGTGATCCTTGCTTTATGTAATACTGCATTCACTCACTTCCCTCCTTCTTCTACGACAATTGCTTCTTTTCAATTTTACATTTAAATACTTGGATCTTAGTTTATAACCATGAGTTTTCTTTTTTTTAAAGTTGAGTGACTGTCTATTGTTCTAAGCACGTACTGCTATCAAAATATGTTGTTTTGTCGGATCGATAAAAATAAGCTCTCTGATGAATCATTTGGAATTTAGTTTAGAGATTTTGTTGCAAACTGACCAAATAATTATTTAAATTTCACAGACAAAATAAATACGATAGTCTTGGACAACTCCCAAGTAGACGACTAAACTCATGAATTTATCAGCAAAATATATGTACTTTATTGTTAATGAAAATCTATTATTTCACTTTATACAATATCTGAAATTTATAATACAAAGTAAGAGGTGTATTATTTTAGATTTAAATATATGCTAGAAATGAAACAAGAGACTTTGGACGTGTTATAAAATTCATTGCGAATATTGTACGTGCTGTGAACGTGACATTCCTTTTGAAAAATAATTGTGACGAAATGCATATAGAGCGACGAGTTCACAAGCATCCAAGCATTTGTAAAATTTTTATTTAAGCCTATATTTTGGACAGATAATTTATTAACTAATTCCAATAACATCGTGGGTACACTAATGCCTTCAAGTTTTACTAAATGATTGGGAAGAGCCTTTCGTTCCAGGCTTTTGGCACGGTTATCTATTTATTTTCATTTAAACTCTTATTTTCTGCTCATTTAGTAATTATACTTGTAATTCAAGTTTTTTGAAAGTGAATCTACATCAGTTGATACAAGTTGCATCATTATCATGCAACTAAGATTTTCTTCTCATTAAATTTAAATATATAAATGGAGAAACTGAGATCACAATGAGTAAAATGTGTGCCTATCACGTAGATCATACAAAGACACAATTTGCGATTCGACTCATTCTCCACAAGTCATGCTACGCTAACTTTTCTTATCACACTAAATTTGAAATTTCTACTTGCTATGTTTGCTTACGAATCTGTAATCAAATTCGAAAGAAGACAAACAAATCCGTGTCAAGTGATTATTATTTCTCTGCTAATCAAGTTTTTACTATTTTTCAATCTTCTCTATATATAACGATTCTATCGTGATACATTATTGCAGTTTATCAGCCATTCTTACTACGAAGAATTGCATAGATTCGTAAAGAATGTATAGCACATAGAAAACCAAATACCCAATTCCTCACTTTATCATCATAGTCACAAGAAAAATTGAAGAGTAATTAAGAACGAATAAAGTCTAATAAAATTATACTCTGCAATCTTTAAATCAAAATTGTGTGTAGCCTTAATGAACTTTAGACACAGTTTCATTGAAATAATTGAAATATCACCTGTTTTGACTATCTATTACTGAATTCTTTACTATTATTTTTTGTTTGAAATATAATCTATTTGCAGATCACACATACACACCCATCTATTGAGCTTCTCAACTTTCGTACAAACTTTTTCGAGTATTCTGAACTTCTCATTCATACCTATACTTGTACATGATACCCATGAAAAATGTACCACCTTTTTGATCACGCACACAAAACATCCTTGCGGCATTCTGAGAGACACGCTTGCACGTGGAACACCCGCAGGGATAAATTAAATACTGATATTGCGTAAATAAAACATTCTCCAAAATTTCTCAGACTAAGCAACTACTCTCTGAAGACTCAAAAGAAGAATCCACACATTAGGTCTACCTTTACGTCAAAGTGAATTTATGTATTGCATTGATATTTTATAAATATGTCAGTAAAATCTAAAATAATTTTATTAATCTATAATATTTCCAATGTTGTTCACAATCTGACAGCCTTATACTCCGAATAACCACTGATGTTATAAATCATAAATTAAATTGATCAAATGACTGTTGACGAAAGCATACATTCGTACATCGGAACTATGTATATATTAGGAATATATTCCAATAATTGCTAATTAGTCCTTATCTACAATTGTTCGGATCATCAAGACTCCCCTAACCTAGGCTATTACTATTCATATTAAAGCTTTTCATTTGAAAAAAAAAAATTAGGTTCTTTTTTGTACATATTTCAATAACAACATCGATCTCTCCTATAAAACTGATTAGAATAAAAAAACTGCGCCAAGTACAAAAACAATTAAGTGTATGACGTTAATAATGGAGAATCCAAACTGATATTTGAGAGGTGGATTGAAATCATAATCCTGCTAACCTAACCCGAAAAAGAAAATCTTTGATAATTTAAAAGGTACATAGAATATAATTTCATGATGTTTTATTCTTTTTGAATAAGTGTGCAATTAATCAAACGTTATTTTCACAAGCTGTATATATTCAATATATGTAACGGGTCAAGCTAGAAAATTACTTCTGAACATTACCTTTAATATCAACGAAATCAATTTTGAGAGCCATATACAAACTTGACTCGTAATCGCTCCTAACTGTCTCGTTATTTAAAATAAATCTCGACAGAAACAATGAATCGGAAGCATTGTTCGGAACATTCGCATTCTTATCACACTCAGTAATTCATTCGTATCTCGAATAACTGCTTCATACTCATAAACATTATATTCATCCTAATTCGCTGTTCATAATTATCATCATTCACTCTATATCACATTCTGCAATACATACTGATCTACAAAGTGACACTTGCAACACACACGAACGCTCCACATACACATTTGTAATGAATACAATTTTTTTTAAATCAACAGATCTCTTCACAATAAAGTATCGCGGCGCTTTTACTGTTATACATACTATTATACATAAAAGATTAAAACGGCTCCGATTTTCTCTTTTTTTTTTACTTGTTAAGCGATCATTTCTTTATGTCCTGCTCTTTTCATAATTTTTAAATTATGTGGATTTCAATATAATAGATTTTGGCTTACCTTACTGTTGGGAACTTTCACGTCGCACCATCTACCGTCTATCATGTGTCGCTGTGCAAGGCATCGTAGCTGGGACTCATAACTACCAAACCGAATGAATCCGAATCCTTTGCTTTGTCCCGATTTTGCGTCTTTCTTCACCTGACGATCCATTTACCAGGTCATGAAAAGATTTAGAAGCTGATTTTATTATGCACTTAACATTTTTATCTCATTTATAATTTTTGTCTGTGATAGCAAGAACTCGTGAAAGTATTATTCTATAGAATTTCATCGCAATAGAAATTTATACTAGTTATAATACAACGGCATGAACTTTCAAAATCATATTCAATTGTTTTTAAAGTGACTCGGGAGTATCACCGACCATCTTAAATTTCCGATCACGAAAATAGTAAACTGTACATAACCGTTCCATCATTATTATCCAATTAAAGTGCACGCATATGCGCGCAATTACCGAAATAGCGCTTGTGTAAGAAATAATTTGAATAACAAATGCATACACAAATTTTGACACGAGTTTTACGCGTCCAAAAATGGTATGCAACTCATACCTTCATTTGTAATTACTGGACATAAAAGTATCATGCAAGTAACAGTGCAGCTTGTAAAAATCTCTATGCACTTTGTTTGCATAAGAAGTTATGATTACGTTCTTATGAATGATGATGTTTCATTTTGAGATTAAGATGTACTCCCTAGTCTCCTTAAGGGGCCAGGCTGCCTCCAAGAATAGTTAAAACGTTTTCCAGCTTGACATCAATGGCAATTATTATTCTTAAGTGTCGACGTAATTCATTTATTAAAAATGATGAGGCTTTCTTTCAGAAACGGTCATCAGTAATTAAACACGTAATCTATAAATATCCCTTTACAGAATTTTGTTACTTTTACAAGTGCTCATTACCAACGATATATTTTAGCATAAAGTGAACACGTTTACTATATCTATTATCCTTTCAAAAATTCTTTTAATCAATTTTTATCAACGAATATTAATAATTGTAATATCTTCATGTGACGCACTACATGTAATTATAACCAACGACAAATTCATCGGTTGCCATTTCCAACTGTCCCGCCATATTAAAAAGAGATTATTAGTAATCTTCAAAAACGAAATTAAAAGGACAAATGTTGGCTTCTGGATAATAAGTACAAATTTGTGTAATAATGAGAGTCATATGAATACAAATACTATCACGGTTTCATGAACTGTTTCAAATCAATGTCTATTCCAGACTTAGAGAGATCTTACACTATCTGAGAATAATATTAAAATATCTGCAAGGTCATTCACGACAGAGGCACCACTTGTACTCCTCATGTTAAGTGAGTGCTGTGGCGCCCTAATGGGCTCCGGTAGAATCTATGAAAGTATCCAGGATTACATTTAATAAATAGAAAGTAGCTGTTTTGCTGTTGTTTATAATAACATTTAACTCGATAACATTTTCGATATACTTTGGTTATCCATCACTTACACATTCTACTAAATCGTTGGAAATGATTTAAAAAGCTCCTCTTTTTGATGCCTTCGAAATCTTCAATTCTGAAATTTCAATTTTAAAGAACAAGCTTGAATACTCTCAAAGTTTCAAATCATGGCCGATACAACGACGCAACAGTCACTTAAGAAGACGTATAGTCCAACCAGCCAAAGAATAGTCTTCGGTGAAGATGTCAAACTAGGTATAACTAAAAGGCACTCCTTCACTAATTTCAGTATATACAGATAACAAAGAACCTAAGCTACAGAAAAGTGGCGTGCAGTAAGTAAGAAAAATCACTCACCTGTGCCATGAGAACTTCTCCAAAAGTCTCGAAATATTCGCGCAAGTTCTGCTCGCTCGTTTTCCATGGTAGGCCAAGAACGATGAGGTCCGTGCAACGCAACTTTGTTTCCATTCGCTTAGTCTTAGCTGTGGAATTTTCCAAATTGTCGTCAGATTTACGTTTGTTCTCTGGAAATAAGAAGGTGCAACAAATGTTCATTTCTTCTCTGTCACCCTCACTCGCTCTCTCTTTCTTTCCCCTTTCTCTCCCTCTCTTCCATTCCCAGTCAGCCTGCTCATTTGTCCTGTTTTTTCTGTTTCTTTTTTTTGTTATTTATCTTTCTTGCTCTTCATATGTATATCATTTTTTTTTGTATTTTACTCTCCATTTCATTCGCACCACCATATTTTCTCTCTTTCTCTCTCTTTCATTCTCTTCTCCATATTCTCCCTTTCATTCTTCCTCCACGGCATACGTTCAATGGCACCCATAATAAATTTATTTAATGTTCAATTATGAAAATACTTATTAGAGTCAAACATGTTATTATATGAAAAGTGGAACTTTTGATAAAGTGTTTACAATTTAATATTCAATAAATTCCAGTAAGTGAAGAGCAGCTTCATTAAAATATAACCCAGAAATATATTTATTTATTGCATATAAGAAAGGTAAATCAGATAGCAATAAATTTGATTTGCGAAAAAAGTAATGTCGAAATTACACTGCTTGCCTAATGTCTACCTCTATAAAATAGAAAAACTGTTTGAATTGGTATACATTCAAGGGTAAAAAAAAAGAATAAAAATATCTATTGATGAATTTGACGATTTTCAGTATTTGCTAATAAAAATTCTAAATACAAAGCAGATTTTTGAACCGAGATAAAACCGTCTCAAATTATTAATTTGCTTGTGTCACATAGTGTAAAGTGCATTATCACATATTGAATTATATAGTAAATAAGAATGAAGAAAAAGAAAAACCAAATCAATTTCTATTCAAAATTATTAGGAAAAATTTCAAAAACATAAGTTCAGATCTATATTACACATGCATTTCACTAACATTATTCATTAGTAAGATCGCTTTCTAGCAAGTTATATAAAGTCATATACAGTGCATTCATATATTAAGAGTTTAACTTTTGACGATATCGACGAAAACCAAGTAACATAACTATCAAGGCGGTGGGTTATATTTGTACACCGCCGGTGTAGTAAGGGTTAAGTAAAGGTGTTTCGCTCATTAGACACATTACAAGATAAAAATCCAAATTGATATGTATTAGGTCAATGTCAAGTTATGCAAAGTTTTTATACGAGCCACCACACAACTCTCGAGATACATAAAATCGAAATGTTCATTTTCGACATATAAATATACTTTATTTATAAGTGAATACGGACTTTAAATTTTGATATTTTTATTTTCATATGGTACATTTTCATGATTTATGGCCTGATATTTATTTTTTTTATATTTCGACTAATTAATTTTTGAACTTCAATTCTTGAAAAATTGTTTATATTGACTGTTCAATATATGTATATCTGTTATTATTATAATTATGATTCCGGACCTTTTATTTACCATGCGAGTAATATGTCAACTAAAATCGTAAACAACAGAATTTTGACAAAAATTCTTTCCCAAAGCGGAATGCAGTACACATTTTACAAAGTTAACAATCATTTTAACACCACTTTCGCAATAATTAACTTGAAACTGTACAAAATAATGAAATGAGCAAGACTGTTTGTTTATTGAAAAGATTGTATTACTTATTTCTGGTCATTCGAATACTTTTAAAACTTTATTAAAGACATTATATTTTTCATTCTGGTAAGATGATGTAATTCCTTTACGTTTATGCGCTCTCTGACACTGTGAAGTAGGGGAATAGACATATCGTCTTTGTTAAAATCGAAAAAGTTATACAAACAGTATGTTTCGCATCCAATAAATATTTTCAAAACATTTTTAAAGAAAAGAGTATTTTTATTTTATTGTGGTCACACAGAACCCAAATAGACTTACATGATTAAACAGAACTTTCAGTATAGTCGTGTCTCTCATAAGTGCTTATGTGACGGTGATATTTGTTAATTTGAATGATGGCATAAAAATGCGACATCAATCGTCAATGTTGATTACGTGTGATACTTTAGTCATCGTGATAAAAAACAGATAAATACTATTTCATCTATGCTCTATCAAAATATACGGTAGATGTGATTTAAGTTTACCTCATATCATGATTGATAAATAATTATTCTGATATATATACAGGGTGTTCCGAAACTACCTAACCCGTTGGGTATGGCGGTGTTCGGGAGGCACCACTGATCACGAAAATGACCTTCCTGTTGTCCGGAAGCTCTTAGTTTTTAAATGGGAGCAGGTCAAAGTTGACGAATCAGAACGAGGCGTCAAGAGAAACGTAGGCACCTACGAACTCTTGAGTTTTCCTCCCTGGCTTTTCTTTCTCGGTAGCTTGTTTCTTGTTTCCAATGGCCATGTCTTCGGCTGACGTCATCCTGCCCGAAGTCACCGAGAAACAAAAGCGAGTGAAGAAAACTCAGAGTTCGCAGGTGCCTACGTTTCTCTTGACGGCTCCCTCAGATTGGTCAACTTTGACCTTCTCCCATTTAAAAACTATGACCTTCCGGTCAAAAAGAAGGTCATTTTCGTGATCAGTGGTGCCTTCCGAACACCGCCATACCACGTTGGTCAGGTAATTTTGGGACACCCTATATATATTGATATAGGTATAATGAGATAAACTTAACCCTTAACCCCAAAACGTGTTTTTAGCGCTCTTAACCCTTTCGCTACGGCAGTCTGTTCCGCGGGAGTAGCGCCACTGAGCGGGGCACTGCGCTTACGTCTTTCAATGGCACTTTGGAATTGTTTTGTATGTATACTTTTTTAAGAGTTATTTAACTGTTTCGTCATATTATATAGAAAAACACAAAAATGAGTATATTGTGGGTATTCAGAAATTTACATATTAACAAAGTAGTAGATTCTGTGCTACCAACGAAGTCAGGGTAGGTGGTCTCGCGGCCGCCGACTACAGTCGGCGTCCGTAGCGAAAGGGTTAAACCCAAAACGTGGGTCATTTTTTATCAGGCTTGTTTGTCACTAACTTAACGTATTAGACAATTTCTATAAAAATTCATAAATTAGCTTTGAAGTTTTTCCTACACGCTATAAAAAAAATACAAATAATTATTAAGACGAATTCGGCACATGTAAGGACATGACATTCTTTTCATCTGGTTCGAAAGAAAATTAAAAAACTTTGTATCACAAGGAGAATCACAGCTACGCCGTTATTACGCATCTAATGTTGTTGACAAGTCAAAATTATTTACCGATCTTACTCCATTAGATTACTTTTTGTGGGGTACATTAAAAGACAAAGTTTATGCAGATGCTCCAACAACACCGGAAGATATGCGACGAAGGATTGCGGATGCATGCTCAACCATCAGTGTAGAAGCCATAAAGAATGCAAACCAATCTTTTGTTCACAGTCTACGCGAGTGCATTGCAGCTCGTGGACACCATTTTGAACATCGCTACAATTAAGATTGGTAAATTTTGACTTGTCAACAATATTGGTTGCGTAATAACGGCGTAGCTGTGATTCTCCTTGTGATACAAAGTTTTTTAATTTTCTTTCAAACCAGATGAAAAAAGTGTCATGTCCTTACATGTGCCGAATTCGTCTTGAAATCCTCTAACAGACAGGCGTAAAAAAATTATATGTTCAGTTGCAAAAAATTCAAGGTAACCTTGAAAAAACACTAAAAAAAAGAGTTGACCAGTAATTTGTCACTACCACGTTAAAGCTCTCTTGAAACCATGCAAAAGCTGATAAAAACATTTTCGATCGGACTGCTAATAACAAAGTAATTTCTACTGATCACGATTCGTGATTCACCCTGTATATGTATATTGCAGTGGATACGTGATCCGCACGGCTATTGAAGAATAATCATAACTTTTAAACAAAACATTTGAAAATAAAACTTAAAACGGGTAATTAAAGTTAAAGGATGAAGGAATAAAGAAATGTACCAATAAGGCATATCAGAAAATTAAAACCGAATACTTAAGTTTTTACCATAAAAAAACGGAATATTACGGTACCGATATACTGCATTTTTTATTATTCTTGTCTGAATAAAAAATCAATATTAAATATATAAAAAATCGAACATTTATCGTTAAATATTCCAAGAATACGAAATACCGCAATGTCATAAACGATCCTTCGACCCATGAAAATCTACTTGGTCTTCGAATAATAGCATTCTTCCAATAGATTGAACTTTTTTCAACACTATGATACCGGGACTTTGGTATAAAAGATATGAAAAAAATGTATGTAGATGCAAAATGCTTCATTTTTTCAATAGTTTTTCAATTAGAAATAATTTTATTTTAACGCATTTGTGCAGAATTTTTAAATTCGAAGCCTACCGTAAAATGTATACATAAACACAAAACCTGGGTCAATTTCGTCCGCGCATGATTTAGACCGCTAAGCATTCGGGTATGAATTGACGCAGTAGAACGACCGTTGGTATAGTTTCCCTTCCGCACAAAATTCTTTTTAGGATGGAGGGCGTCCACGAAGCAACGGCTGGTTTTCCACCTATTCCAAAAGTTCAAATCGGCTCGAACAAAACTGACCCTTGTTTCTGGGTTTGATAAAGCCTAGATTGAATAGTATTTATCTCTTTTATAGAAACGGTGAATGAAGCATCGCATGTAATCTAAATTGACGATTGATGTCGCATTTTTATGCCATCATTTAATTTAACATGTATCAGTGTCAGGTGCGCACTCATAAGACACATAACCTTGTCCAATGTTGTGTTTAATCATATACGTCTAAAAGAAGGTCTATAAAGAACCAATTCGATTGAAATTTATATGCAAAATAAAAATATTTGTATAGATGAACCAGTGATAACTGATATGTTTAGAATTTGTAGTTATAAAATTGCCTTTGCACGAATATAATTTTGTTTTGTTTATAAAGACGAATGCTTAAAATGTAATACAAAATATGGTTATTCTATTATATCTTATTTTCATGAATCATTTTTGACAAATACAGCTTAAACACATGTTGCATATCTGCTCTTTTCCATTAGTTAGTATAGGAGTTCTGATGGTGCATATAGTATTTATAAATATAGTCGGTTTACAAGTAAAACATATTTTTGACAAATTGAAAACAGTGAAGTCTCTAGTAAGCCATGTGTGACTTTGCATAAAATTATTGTTACAAAGTATGCATGTCAATAGTTTTGCACTGATGTTTTTTTTTACATATACTTCATTGCTATTATGGAAAGCTATATATATGATTTGCTAAGGACTGTATTATCTAAGATTTGCCAAAGAAATATTTTACTTGTAGATGGCCTATACAAATGAATACATATAGCCCAACTACATATAGTACTAAGTAGAAAACACATACTATTCTCAATAATTATAACTTATAACAAGGTTTTTATGCTTACAATTGGATACTAAACTATTTTGAAAGAAAATCAGTTTCATTGAAAAATGAAATATAGTGAAATTGAATTTCAACAAATTATTTTGTTTTCATACTATATGTCACACAGTTAGAATAAGATTATTTAATTTTGAAAAATGCGTATAAATTTTTCTAAACTCATAACCTATTTTGATAAAATTTGCAGGATATTTGATAATATATAGTAATAATAATAATAATCAGAATTATTAGAAATCAAATCAGCAGAATTATCAGAAAATTCAATAGTCCTGAATAACTGTGTATACTAGTTTGTAAATATTTTTCTAAACATATAAGCATTGTTATTAATTAATTTTTTAATAAGGGGTTAATCCCTTAAAATACATGTTAATATTACTAAGCACAAGTTATCATATTAATACTATTAAATGAATTTTGCTATGAATTCGCACAACATTTCTCAATTTTATATCATATGTATTCAAATACTACATTATAAATTTAAGAATAAATTGTATACATTGGTTTAAGATACTTTAAAAATTTGATATATTACTTGCAGTTTCCTTAAAGAATGTTAGTACTGAGTTCACAATCAATATTTACTCCAATATTTACAAAACTGACTTTTTACTCATTAAAATAAATGTAAAACAAAATGTCAACATAAATTATAACAAATGTGTTTACTATTTCCTCTTGTATCAGACAAATATATAAACACGCATTCTAACTTTACAACTAATCAGCTAATTCATTAGCTGATAGACAGCTATTGTTGTTTTTATTTGGAAATTGGTTTTACAGTAATCCAGCGAACAATAAACTTATTTTCTCGCTTTAAGTACAGTGCTCATAAAACATTCTCTTACTTTGCTTAAGATGTTCTCTTATGTATATAGTTTTTACCACACTTATACAATCATGTATATACACTAATGTACATATGAACAATTTAAGACGTTACATTACACTCCATAGTTAACAGTCTAATCTGTCATGTCCAAGCACTGAACACTATAATATTGTCTATTTACAAATAAAAAATCGGCAACCATCATATTTTGTGATAACTTTGAATAAGCAAAACAATTTCTTTAGATTCACAGAACATATTTTGCATAAGAGGGCATCTATACTTTAATAAATATTCCCTAATCATTATGAGCATTATATTCAATACAATCAAATTTAAGACACAATCAATTGTTTGCATGAAAATTTAGAAACTAATGTAATTAAAAACAAAGTAGCAAAACACAAATGTTCGTCAATGAAGTAACAACATTCGAATAGACCTATGAAGTTTGCAATACATCTCAACATTGTAAACTAATCATGATGAAAAGTAAGTCACAGAAGAAAGCTGCAATTTGTGCTGTCCGTATTACCAATTATAAAGAATTATTAGGTAGAGATACAAAATAATTGGAAAAATTGAAAATAAAAGACAACCTAGGTGAATATATATCGCATAAACGTAAGATAAAAAACAGATGCGGAAACCGAGAAATGTCGGCGAACCCATATAATTCAGCTACTCGTGTATCCTCGGCACTATTCGTTCGCGTCCGAAGGTACTCGGATGAGTTCGGTTATGTTCGAGGACACTCGAGGATAATCGGCGTAATTCGCCTATGTTCGAGGTTGTTCGGTTGCCTGTCGGCCAAAGGGACAGATACCTTTTGGAAAAACGCAGAAGTAGATGGCTTTGCCCCAGCCGTTCTCCGGAGAATGTAGGCGTCCATCAACAAGGCGTACACCTCGCATTGCCCGGGACTCCGGATTACGGTATTTAAGCCCACAAGTACCCGGGAATTGGGCTGCCAAGGTAGTCAGTAATAGCGTACTATCATCTTCGGTCGGTAACTCGATTGGCTCCTCGCCCTCATCTTCGGCAACCTGGATATACGACGACATAATGCCTCACCCAGGAGGCTTCAAATAATATCCGTTAGTGACACCGGGTATACACAATCCTGCAACGGGAATATTCTCTTTTTCGTACAACACAACAAACACACACGCTCGAACTCGCAGGCAACCACGAAACACCACACTCTCTCGCACTCTTCTCTTCGTTCGCTTTCTGACCAAGCATCGAAAACGGCTCTACGCCGGAACTCTAGGGGTCAGGAATGCCTGTGGTAGGGGTACTACTTTGGTGGGGGGTCGATAACGGAAGCGGAAATTTACACCATGAATTATAATATTCATATAGACGGATAACTTTATGACAATATCCGTCACAGGTTGCGTTTGGAGCGACAGGGTTTTTTTCCATTAGTTGTAGGTTTTGTGACGTATGCGACAACGTTCGACATAGCTCAGGAATTCGACTATAAACGGTATACGTTTTAGCAATATTAAAACCCGCAATTATTCCAATGACAAATATAGGATATGTTTAATCGAAAACATTATTATTAAGAGATTCAGTTATAAAAGGACAACTCTGAGAGAATCGATACATGCAAGTGGTGACGTTGTAATTATTTAAGAAATTATATTATAAACCTTATAATAGACGTTCTCTTAGTTATAAATACCAGAACTGTATTCCCTCTGTTATTTAAAAGGCGTCTAGCCTAATTATGGTTATTTAAAACTTTTGATTTACGTTAAAAGTGTTTAATGCCAGCAAGTCAAGTGCCAGTGATTGAAATAGAGACGGTTGGCCCTTCTTCGAAGAATCGACAGTGAGAAACGGCTAGTATAAGTTCACAGTCTTCTTCCCTTGTTCCTTCTGAACTCGCACTTGATTGGCTAAAAACTATGTTGGTAGGAGAATCTTTGTAAAGACTCCGGGGGTGAGTCCCAGGCGTTTTGAATTTGAAATGAAGACTTGTGTGTATCGACCTTCGATCAGAGCATATAGCAGTTGATATACAGGGTGTTCCGAAACTACCTGACCCAGTGGGTATGGCGGTATTCGGGAGTCTTCACTGATCACAAAAATGACCTTCCTTTTGTCCGGAAGCTCTTAGTTTTTAAATGGGAGTAGGTCAAAGTTGACGAATCAGAACGAGGCGTCAAGAAAAACGTAGGCACCTACGAACTACCTGAGTTTCCTTCCCTCGCTTTTGTTTCTCGGTAGCTTGTTTCTTGTTTCCAATAGGCATGTCTTCGGCTGACGTCATCCTGCCCGAAGTCACCGAGAAACAAAAGCGAGGGAAGAAAACTTAGAGTTCGCAGGTGCCTACGTTTCTCTTGACGCCTCCCTCTGATTGATCAACTTTGTTCTGCTCCCATTTAAAAACTATGACCTTCTGGACAAAAAGAAGGTCATTTTCGTGATCAGTGAAGCCTTCCGAACACCACCATACCCACCGGGTCAGGTAGTTTCGGAACACCCTGTATATACGTTTATATCTTAATATTCAGTTTTATTTCGTAACTATCCTTCCAAATTCGCAAGGTGATTTTCCACTCTTTATTAACGGATCCCAGCAACAAGGAACATCGAATAGGATTTTCAAGTATCCCGCGGAATTAAGCGTTCGGAGCGTTACAGTTTTTCATATATAGCGTCATCTGCGAGGCTCTATAAAAGGTTGCTCGTACGAATGCTTTTTTCGAACAAAAGAACTACTTGGACCCAATTAAGGGTGTGTTCCGAAATGTACTGACAGTACTGTAACCAACGCTGTGTTCTTATTCATCCACACGCATCTAAGAGATGTAATTACTTTTACAGTACTGTCAGTAAATTTTGGAATACTGTGTAAATGACGTCATTACTGTATACTGTACGACCGGTCTGTTTTTATTATTAGTTATACTGTTCAAATTGTATGTTAATAACAGTGAAGCCACTCAGTGTCGAAAGCATTAAGCACTCTAGTACAGTAGATATATGGAATTAAAATTTATTATTATGAAGTAGTGTTATACTTACATTCCTCCAACAAAAATTTGAAAATAATAATTGTATAACATAGGTTATCAATGTCATCAATTTTACTTCGAGTAGTTTCATTTCGGTTGAAAAATTTGTTCACTTACCATTTCTTGCTTTTTGGATCGACGCGGGAGATATTTCCATAGTGTAAGACAAATTTATGTCAGCATCAATTAAAACGATTTCAGTATCCATTTTCTAAATTATTCCTCAGTTCATTTTCCCATTCTTTCTCGCTAATTTCACCGGAAACGGAGGTCATTTCCCGTATTACTGTGAGCGCCTGACCCTTGTGTATTCAGGCGCTCGCAGTACAACTGTTGGGTCTCGTGGGAATGATATTACGAAAATCTTTAGTTTATCAATGAATTGCGATGTTTTATTTCAAAAATGTTTATGACAAAATTTGTACGACTTCTACTATTCCAAAACGGTTACGATACGATTGTTTCAAAACGTGCCCAAACCCCAGACTAGTGATATTAGAAAATCCCTAGGATGTATGGTCGACTAGGGATATTCACGTCGGGGATCTTCTTCCTTGGCGGACTAGGGAATTACGAACATCCCGGCCTCCGTTGCAGCTCCCTGAGTGCAACCAGTTCAAATGGGTGGCGCGTCTATCGGAAGTCTGCAGATCTTGGTTATTGGTCGTAGTAAACGGCTGTTTCCCATTCGGATGGTGACTACCCTCACTAATCCATCGTTGCCTGGATAAGTTGAGATGATTCTACCCATATTCCATCGTGCGGGGGGCAGATTGTCCTCCTTTACTAGCACTAAGTCACCTTCTTGAAGGTTCGGTTTTTCATGTAGCCACTTAAGCCTTTGCTGCAGTCTAGTGAGGTATTCGGATGACCATCGCTTCCACCAATGCTGAGTGAGCTACTGTTGGTATTGCCAACGAGTTGTAGGTTTTAGGTGTAGATCCTTCATCGATGGAGTTGGTGGACTCAGTAACGCATCTCCGATTAAAAAATGCCCCGGAGTCAACGCTGTTGCATCTTCTGGAGAGTCCGACAACGGACATAACGGTCTTGAATTGAGACACACTTCAATTTGAGCGCAGATGGTGATGAATTCCTCTATTGTTAGTTTAGCTTGTCCCACGACGCGGTAAAAATGCCTCTTAAAAGATTTCACGCCAGCCTCCCATAATCCGCCAAAGTGTGGTGCGGCTGGAGGCATGAAGTGCCACGTTATTCTTTGACGGGTGAACTCCTGATGAATGGCAGGTTGATCTAGGAGCTTAGACAAAATCTTCTCAGCTCCAACGAAGTTAGTTCCTTTGTCGCTATAAATGTATGTACAAACTCCCCTTCTCGCAAAGAAGCGTCTAAGGGCGGCCAAGAAGGTCGGGGTCGACAAGTCACCAGCGTACTCTAAATGGATGGCTTTCACGGCCAAACAAATAAATATGGCAACCCATACTTTCTGGCAGTGTTGACCTTGTTTCATCCGTTTGACTAAAAAAGGGCCACAAAAATCCACACCTACATGAGAAAATGGTCTGGATACGTTGACTCTAGGTGCTGGTAAATCGCCCATTTGCTACTCCGTTGTTGTCCTGGAATAACGAGTACATGCAATGCAACGGTTAATGCATGATTTCACCAACCTGCGAGCGTGTAAAATCTAAAAACGATACCGTAAAGTGGCCAGCATTAAAGTGGATCCACCCTGAAGCGTATTGCAATGTGCCTCATAAATTATTAGGTTGACGAGGTGGTCCCCAGCAGATAACACTATTGGATGTTTTCGCTCGAATGATATCGACGAATGCTTCAGTCGACCACCGACTCTAATTATCTCATGGTCGTCAAGAAACGGCTGCAATGAGGTTAGTGGACTCCGTCGAGGAAGATCGTGATCATCACGTAAGGCCCGAAGTTCTAAATGGAAGGCCTTCCGACGTTGCGCAGCCACAATTCTTGTAATAGAATCTTTCCAATTGTGACAATGGGCGCGATCCATCCTAAGGGGTCATAAATCTGAAACACTTCAGATAAAATGCTGCGTTTCGTGATACAATCCATTTCTGTGTCGGAAATTGAAGAACGATAAAAGAAGTGATCTGAGGCTGCATCCCACCTCAATCCCAATGTTTTAGTAATGGTACATGTACCAATACTATGTGCTGGTACTGATTCTTTGTTTGCACTATCTATTGTTTCAAAAACAGTTGGCTCATTCGTTGCCCATTTGTGAAGTGTGAATTTACCGCTGTCTAGCGGCCACTCCGAATATGACAGTTCTAGCCATTTCGGTCCTTTCCACCATAAGGTATTTCCTGTTAACTGTTCTACCATTGTTCCGCGACTCAGACAATCTGCAGGATTTTCTCCCGTTTGAATGTGATGCCAAATAGATGACCACAATATCATCAGCTCCAGACATTATGTCATCTACATACGTATCTTTTTGTAGTGTGGACGATGCTAACGGAAACTCATGTCCTGCATCTTTGACTAATTGCTGTAAAGTTCTCAAAGCCAAGTAAGGCGCCGCGACAACTCCAAATGTTACACGAGTAAGTCTCCAATCCTGGACTTCCAATGCTTCCTTATGCTCCAAGATGATTCTGATACTCTCGATCAGGTTTAGCGAGGCTAATTTGTCTATACATATTTTTTATGTCCGTCGTGAATACTATCTTAGGAACTCTCCACCGAGTAATGATCCGTCTTATGTCGTTCTGCAATGCGGGTCCAGTGTATAACACATCGTTCAAGGATAATCCACTTTCTGTCCGTTGAGACGCGTCAAAAACTACTCGAACGCGACCATTTGGATCGTCCCGTTTCGTTATTCCATGATGAGGTAAGTATGAAGCGTCATTTGCGTAGACCTCCTGCAAATCCACTTTTTCTAGATGATCTTGTTGCAAATAATCTTCTAAGCAGTCCTGATACTTAAGCCTCACGGTGGGCTCTTTGGCCAAACGTCTCTCCAACTGTGAGTATCTGTAGATCGCCATGGATCTTCCAAGGCCCAATTCCGCTTTGTCAGACTTCCAGGGTAGTGAAACTTCATAACGTCCATCTTGCAAGCGCTTTGTTGTTCTAACCTAATATTCTTCACAATGTCGAGCTTCTTCCGTTTCAGCAGGTTCCGCGGGAATGCTTTCCAGCTCCCAAAATCTCTGTACCACATCGTCGAGGGTAATAGAGCTAGCTGATACAATTGTCGTGTTGCCTTGTGAAGGTCTAAATATGTCGGCCTTTGTCAAAGAACCGGACAAGATTCATCCAAGTTTTGTCTGTTGAGCTATCAAACTTCCTGGTAGATTAGTACGTACACCGTTCATCAATAATTTCCCAAATACATCCGCTCCTAATACGATATCAATTCTTCCTAGTACGCCGAAGTTTGGATCTGCCAAGTGTATTCCTTGTAATCCGTCGCATATGACTAATGGAATTGTTTCTGTGGGTAACCAGTTGGTTAACTTCTTCAAAACATAAGCTTCTATTTTCAATGGCTTTTCTGTAGGCGAATTGAATTGCATAGCAAATCTAACCACTCCTCTTGTCTTGGAGGGTGGCGCATTTCCGATTTCCACGATTTCTGTTGACGATCGCTCACGCCGAAGCTGCAACAGCTGAGCTGCTCGTTCTGATATGATGGAAGCCTGCGAACCTTGATGCAGCAATGCCCTGCAGACATACATTTGCCCTATCGGGTTTACTAATGTAACATGAGCCGTAGCCAGTAGAATAGTTTTAACTGGTGATGCCTGTACTAGACAGGCTACAGTTTGCGGATGATTGTCGGTGATTTGATTTGAAATCGTGACGTCAACCTTCCTTTCTGAAGGCTTGTTAATTATGTTCTCTGATTCCGACTTTGGTGCCTCTGTCCTGTGGAGTAAAGTATGATGTCGCTTAGAACATGTTCGACAGACATTATTACTCTTACAGTTATTCATAACATGATCTCTTGCCAAGCAGTTTATGCATAAATGGTTTCCTTTAACTATTTTAAACCGTTCAGCTTGCGATAACGTAAGAAATTGCTCACACTGATAAAGCGAGTGTTGGCCACCACAACATGCACACATATCGCCTCGTGTACGCATAAAATGTGCGCGTTTCGGTTTAGCTGCCCATGCACCAGTGTCATTGTATTTAGTTGACTTTCCAGAGTCTGGTTCAAGTGCATTTAATGATCTAAATCGCATTTCCAAAAAGACCTGAAGTTCTTTCCATGTTGCATAAGACGTGGGTGAATGAGTTTGTTATTCCCATAGTCGTCTCGTTTCTAAAGGCATTCTGTCTTTGATCATAAAAACAAGAACTGGATCCAAATCAGTCAAAGGAAATCCCAGTTGTCGAATAGCTTCAATAGCTTGGCTGGGAACGTCTAACAATTCCCTTATGTTTGTAGGTTTGTCTTCCTTAAACTTCGGTATGGAAAACATTGTTTTCAAATTAGCATCAATTAACACTGTAACGTTATCATACCTAGCTGTGAGTTGCTCCCATGCAGGCCTATAATTTGCATCCGATAATGCAAATCGTTTTATAAAATCTTCTGCTTCACCCTTCAAGCTTCCCCGAAGATATTGCAAACGTTCTATGTCAGCAAGTCTGGCATTGTGATGAACCAGAGCAAGAAATAGATCTTTGAATCCGGACCAATGTTTTAGTTCACCATTAATCTGAGGTAACTTTATTTCTGGCAACTTTACCTTTATTTGAGTTTGCCATTGAATCTGCATATCATCTCCACTATCATTGTATTCGTTTTCGTCGTCAACCTTTGACGATGCCTCTGATTTTGCTACTTCTACAGGATTAATAAAATCTTCTATCTGTGCCAACAAATTAGCTACAAGATCTTCCAATTCTTCATACAACCCACCCTGTATGTACCCATGTACAGCCGGAGAGGATGGTTCTGGATTGTCCATTATTTGTCGATGATTACTACAAGATCTTCCAATTCTTCAT